GTGATTATTACGTTTTGAATATGGATATTTTTCTTACAAAAACGCATCAATTCGCTACAGGAGGCCTTTGTTCACCCCCCGGAGCCGTGTGAGACACTTTTTTTAATGGATGGGCTTTTGGACTGATGCATGCAACACCTGCTGAGTGCCATTAAACAGCTTGAAAGATCAAAGACAATTTTTTAATATAACTCCGACTGGATTCGTCTGAAAGAAGAAAGTCATATACACCTAGCATGCATCGGGGGTGAGTAAAACACAGCCTAATTTTCATTTTTGGGTGAACTAACCCTTTAAGCAGTTATTTGAAGAACAAAAGTTCCCGCAATCTTGAAAAACCTGGACTTATGAAGAAACTGTGGTTTCTAGACCTGGAAAACTAATGGAAAATAATGAAATTGTATAACTCTATGGGCATTTATAGAATGAATATACATTTTTTTGGAACAATGGTTTTTATCCGAGGTGACTTGCATTCAAGGTACAAAATAAAATAATAAAATAAAAAATATATATTTTTAATAAATATAGGCTAATAAATCATAATAAATCATACAATACCAAGCTCTAAAATATTTTATCAGGTTGAAATTGTAATTGTTAAAAAAAAAAAAAATCCCCAACATCTGTAGAAGTCATGCACAATGGAGTCAAAAAGGTTGAGAACCACTGCTGTATATTCAAAGTATTATTGACTTTTCAACCTGTTCTGTTGAACTGGAAATTATAAGTTCATGGCATTGCAAGTTGAACAAACGTAACTTTGGAAAAGCTCACACTTGAGTTGATCTGAATGCAAGCAGCTACTAGTTTACCATGTTTCTGTCTTCGGTGTTACCTGCTGCACTTTCGGTCTTCTTCAAGGTCAATTAGTCATGAAGTATTGACGTATATTTGCGGTGTGGACAGACACTGTCAGTCGTGCCTGGTTAGGACACAACATGAAATGCTATTTCAAATGCCATACAAACTTACAATGTCACAGTCGCCTTGACAACAGATAGAAATGTTTTCTAAGAGCTTTTTTACAAACTCTTCTGGGATTGAACATTGACTGTGTCTGAGACAAACACTGTCTTACCCTTTAACTGCTTTGCACACTTCAGTGTGTGTGTGAGTCTACATAGTGTCTTGTTAGATGTAGATGTCAAGTGTGTGTGTTTTTCTCTGCTTCTCATCCAGTCTTACAGTCGAATCAGACTCATATCATGATATTTTGGACTCCAGGGGCGTCCGATCTCTCTGACTGTTAAGTATTTATTTTATTGTTAAGTTATAACTTACATCCATGTGACGCTGTCCATCTCTTGTTTTTGTTGTTTTATTTTTTATATATAGGCCATTACTAAGGATGTAAATAACTTGTTACTGTACAGTGAAACTGTCCGTATTAAAACAAGGTCTGTGTAACTCTAAACTGCTGTCTTTTGTCAATTTTCTTTATTTTTATTTTTTTTTACTAAACAGAAGCAGAGTATTAACATTAAATTGTGTCATTGTGCTGCACATATATTTTTATTTTACTTTTTTTAAACTTTTATTATAAGAACATGTTTATAATAGTATATTAACAGTAATTTGCAGTAATTTCACATTGTACAGTGTCATTTTGGTGAATGTATATTTTTATTCTATCTTTTTAAAGTGCTTTTATAAAAGTAGTGTAAAAGCAATTTTTTAAGACAAAATCAATTTGTTTTAGAATAGTAATTTAAAATTAGTTTTTTTTTGTAATAGCAATTTATTATACGTTATAAATTACATTGTATAGTGTCATACCATACATATATTACTTTAATTTTTTTATAAAAAATTAATTTGTTTTAGAATAGTTACTTAAATTTTTTTGTATAATAGTAATTTAATAGCAATTTATTATAAGTAATGCATTACATTGTATACTATCAAACCATACATATATTTTAATTTGAGTTTTTTTCTTTTAGAAAAATATGTTCTTTTTAAAATAGTAATTTAAAATTTGTATTTTTTTATAATAGTAATTTATTAGCAATTTATCATACATTATAATAGTGACATAATTCTGTACACAAAATTCTAGAATAGTAATTTATCATTATTATTGTATAATAGTAATTTAATAGCAATTTATTATAAGTAATAAATTACATGGTATAGTACTGTCCAAACTATTTAATTTAATTTTTTTTATTAAAACAAATTGTAGAATAGTAATTAAGATGGTTATTTTTATAATAGTAATTGATAAAAATGTATTATAAATAATCAAATCCAAAATCCAAAAAAATCATAGCTCACGAAAGACGCAAATAAATAAATATTGCAAATATGCATAATACTGTATGTATTATGTATCATGTGCTGGTTACTCCACTGCACACCTCGGATCACTTCCTCCTCACTCTTAACCTCAACATGGTTCCTGACACAACACATACCCCTCCACATGTCATCTTTCGACGTAACCTACGCTCACTCTCACCCTCCCGGCTATCTGCTATGGTTTCATCTCCGCTTCCTCCCCCTGAACAGTTATCATCTCTTGATGTTAACAGTGCTACTGATACTTTCTGCTCCACTCTTACGTCTTGTTTAGACACTGTCTGCCCCTTGTCTTCCAGGCCAGCTCGTACCACCTCTTCTGCCCCTTGGCTATCTGATGTTCTCCGTGAGTATCGTTCTAAGCTCAGGGGCAGGCTGCTGAAAGAGTATGGCGCAAATCACAAAATCCTACTGACCTTAATGTGTATCAGTCACTCCTCTCTTCATTCTCTGCTAATGTCTCCACCAACAAAATTAACTAACTCTCGCATGCTCTTTAAAACATTTTCCTCCCTCCTTTGTCCTCCTCCTCCCCCTCCTTCATCAACTCTAACAGCTGACAACTTTGCCACGTTCTTCACTAATAAAATTAAAACCATCAGTGCACAATTTTCCACACCACAAACTGTCGAACACACCTTACCAGCAAACATACACTCGTTCACATCCTTCTCTTCACTCTCTGAGGCAGAAGTCTCTAAACTCATCCTTTCTAATCATCCTACTACTTGTCTGCTTGATCCTATTCCATCTCATCTTCTTCAAGCCATTTCTCCTGCCGTTGTACCTGCACTCACTCACATCGTTAACACATCCCTTCACACTGGTGTTTTTCCCTCTACATTTAGACAGGCTCGTATAACCCCACTTCTTAAGAAACCCACTCTTAACCCATCTCTTTTAGAGAACTACTAATTGGTTTCCCTTCTTCCTTTCATTGCAAAAACACTTGAACGAGTTGTGTTTGATGATCCAACGACGATAGCTCCTCGCATCTCAGCTTGTCTAACACATTTCTTGCTGGATGAAACCTTGCCAAGACAGAACTGCTTGTGGTTCCATTAAACCCATAGTTTTATCAGAATTTCACCATCCAGTTAGGCACATCAACCAAAACTCCTTGAAAAACAGCCAGAAACCTTGGAGTTGTGATTGATGATCAGCTGAATTTCTCAGACCACATTGCTAAAACTGCCCGGTCCTGCAGATTTGCTTTTACATTAACTGTTCCCTCCTGGTGGAATGACCTGCTCAACTCAATCCCAGCAGCTGAGTCCTTACCCATCTTCAAGAATCGGCTACAAACACATCTGTTCCACCTTTATTTGACCCTCTAACTCTAGCACTCTCTATTCTAATTCTATTCTTTAAAAAGAAAACTTGTCCCTTTTAGACTTGCACGCTATTCATTTACTTCTTTTTTTTTTTTAAACTAACACTAGTTTTTCTATTGTTTTTGTATTCTATCTATTTGTTTTATTTTTATTTATTATACAATTAACAAAAGCAAAAAAGGCCTCTAACACTAGCTTGCTCTATTCTATCTGTTTTCTTTTTATTATATAATTTTAAAAAACCTTTCTAACGTACTGCGTGTAACGGAGGGAACACAGGAAGCGTGCGGATCCATCTGCAAGGTTTTATTCGCAAGAGGCGTGGTCAAAAACAGGCATAGGTCAGACAATGGCAGACAGGTATATTGATGGCAAGGCAAGAGGGATAATCCAGGTACACAGGCAGTGATCAGAACACGGGGAAACAGACAAGACAAGACAAGGAAAACAAGACACTAGGCTCGGTAATGCAGCTAACACTAGGGGAGTGGAAAATGCAAAACAATGCACAGCGATCTGAACAAGAACTGAGAGAGTGTTAAATAGTGTGTGTAATGGCTCTCGGGTGAGTGTGTGAAATGTGACAGCTGTGTGATCAGTGAATTCAGCTGTGTAAGTGCAATGGATGATGGGAACTGTAGTCCGGAGTGACATGTAACAGTCTGTGTAGTGTGAGAGTCAATGTAATGGTAGAATGACCTCTAGTGGCAATCGGGCGGAAGGACAAGGACCGGATTCGTGACTGCGTTAAGCTAACTGAGACTTGTTATAGCACTTGTATATCATTGCTCTTTTGTTGTTTTTGATTGCTTCTATTGTCCTCATTTGTAAGTCACTTTGGATAAAAGCATCTGCTAAATGACTAAATGTACTATGTTATCATACTATGGGTCCTATTCTTATCAGCAAATGTATGTTTTTTTTTTCCTGTAAGCTTTTTTCCTTTAAATAGTGCTTTGGATCCATATTTGTGAGCTTTTTATTAAAAAATATATCTATATATAAATAAAACGAGAGTGAAAAGTAATGTTGCGTTGGCCGGGAATCGAACCCGGGTCAACTGCTTGGAAGGCAGCTATGCTAACCACTATACCACCAACGCTTGGTAGGGATAAGGAATTATCAATAATTTTTAAAGAAAAAGGGTGTATTTGTTGAAAACCATGTATTTGTTCACTATAAAGTGTTTTTGTGTTGCTCTGTGAATATAATAACCAGTAGTCACATATATCATTATATATTTAATGATATTAAACATAATTTCGTCAATTTCTTCTTCAAATTCATTCAGTTAGCATTAGCCTGTTAGCTGTTGCATTCACAAACAGCGCCTCTCCTCGAGCTGCTGATTTAGTCGTTTTACCCTAAAAATCAAACATTAGATCTTAGTGAATACCTGTGTGATTATATCTATTTCTTTTAGCGTTCATCTGCTAATATAACGTTACGTGTGTGATTTGATCAGAGTATCGGGTGTGTTTTTGTGTTTTAGCAGAAGCTAACAGGCTTTTCATCTCAGACTATTCACTTTTGGATCAGAAATGGATTTATTCGGTGATCATCCGGAACCTACACATGATCCAGGTGGGTTAAACCATAATTTCACTCGCGGCTGGGTTGACCGTGTTTTTCTGAAGTGCGGCTGGCTTGACCGCAGTATAATATATTGCATGTGTAATAGGTGTTAGAATTAGTGATTTAGATTTTAATTTTACGTTAAGTTGTGCAGTTAAATGTGGATACAGTGCATGGCATGCTGCACGAGCCTGGCTTCAATATTACCAACACAAAAAATGTCTATAAAAATAAACAACTAACGTGATTATATTATATATGCATGCATACATAGCCTAGTCGCTCGTTTTGATAATATGTATGCTACAGAATGCGTTGAATGTTTATATGTGAATGCATGAAAATCTGTCTGTGTTTCAAATCCTAGTGATCCTACTTCACAAGTGTGCCTCAAAAATGCTGTCTTGGTAGGCAGGTAGCCTGTATTTATTGATGCAGATGCATGGTTTGGAAGTGGTTGACTTATTTCTCTCTCTTCAGTGTAAGGATTGGTGTTAATGCTGAAGTTTTATTGAACAGGTCCTGTTAAAGCCAAGCAGCCGGAAGAGGGCACAGAGGAGGATCGAGGAGAGAAGAGGAAGAGAGATGTCAGCTCAGAGGAGACAGAGGTGGAAGACAAGAAACAAGAGGAAAAGAAAGTTTGTAAAGGTTTTCAGCTTTCCAGGCACATTGTGTTGCTGATAGAGATTGTGTGTGTGTGTGTGTGTGTGTGTGTGTGTGCGTGTGTGTGCAGTGAGAGAGGGAAGTTCTGTGATGATCTCGGTCTCTTTCTGTTTGTTGTGTTCCAGCAGATCTTGTGAAGCTGACAGGCTTTGTCTCAGCGAGACGCGGTGAACGAGAGGAGATGCAAGATGCTCACGTCCTGCTTCCAGATCTGATATCCAGCATCACCAACCTCCCCTCGCAAGTGTGAGTCTATCTATCTATCTATCTATCTATCTATCTATCTATCTATCTATCTATCTATCCATCCATCCATCCATCCATCCATCCATCCATCCATCCATCGTCTATCCATCTATCCTTCTATCATCTATCCATCCATCCATCCATCCATCCATCCATCCATCGTCTATCCATCTATCCTTCTATCATCTATCCATCCATCCATCTCTGTGTGTGTTGTGCAGTTCTCGTCTTGCGTACTTCACTGTGTTTGACGGTCACGGTGGAGCTCGAGCGTCGCAGTTTGCTGCAGAGAATCTCCATCAGACGCTGCTCAGCAAATTTCCTAAAGGTAAAGCCCATCCGCCCTGATCCTCTTCACACTCACAGCTACAATAACTAGCTGTTCCCATAATGCATCATGATTTGCGGGTGACGTGGAAAATTTGGAGAAGCTGGTGAGGAAGTGTCTGTTGGACACCTTTCGTCAGACTGATGAGGATTTCCTGAAGAAAGCCTCCAGCCAGTGAGTTCTGCTTTAATTGGTTCTGCTGGATTTGAAATGAAGTGAAGTGAAAACACTGTGTGTGTCTGTGTCTGTGTGTGTGTGTGTCTGTGTGTGTGTGTGTCTGTGTCTGTGTGTCTGTGTGTGTGTATATGCAGTCATCAGGAGGGGTTCTGTACGGTGGCCGAGAAGTGCAAAACAATTTACAATTCTGAAAAAAAAAAAATTACGAACACAAATGCAAATCTAAAAAACAAAATAACAATTCAGAAAACACAAGGACAATGAAATGAGATACAGCCGTCTGCTTGCAGCACGTCAGTCACGCTCATCAGGAAAGTGAAACCAAAGACTATAGAATACCCTTAAATTTGTTATTTCCTTGTTATTTCTTAAAGGGACTTTGGTGAAACACACACAAAAACACACATTTTTAAAAATCAAATAATACGTCATTAATAGCGGTTCACTTCCGTGATTTGGTATGATAGTACCAGAGTTCACATGAACCGTACACAGCATAAGACAGCGTTCATCATCCAAACGAACCGAACTCTGACGTCAATCGAACCCGGGTGCGCACCAAAAGTGCTAGTGTGAAAGCACCCTTAAAGGCAGACATCCCACCTCTCCCGGAAATTCCGGGAGTCTCCCGCATATTAATAGTGGCTCCCTGACGCCCGCAAATTTGATACAATATCCCGGAAATCGTGGAGGCAAGGGAGAGAACGAGCAAGAGGAAAGAAATTATAAATGAAATGTGTCCTTTTATTATTGCTTGGACAAAATGCTGCACGATTCTTTGTGAAATTGAAATATAATACTTTAATAATATACCAATATAGCACTTGCTTATCATTGCTCTTTTGTTGGTTTTGATTGCTTCTATTGTCCTCATTTGTTAGTCGCTTTGGATAAAAGTGTCTGCTAAATAACAAAATTTAAATATAATGTAAATGTAAATAACAAAACTAAATTTAAATTTTAAAACAAGCCCCAAATCAAATAAATAAGTAACACAAATAAAAGAAATCTCTTCATATAAACAAAATAAGGCGTGGTCTGTGCTCTCCTCATTTGCCCCAGTCGAAAGCATATTTACATTGTCTGAATCGTTCCCTATCGCCTACATTGTGCACTACGTGCCATTCACTGTACAGCAAATACTACACTGTGAACAAGTGACCGATCTCAGCCGCAGCTTCAGCGTATTTATAGTGCAGGGGGCGGGCGCTTCGGCTTCTAGAGAACATTTGATTGGTCAGAAGATTTGATGAGAAGATGAAGTACGAGGTGACATAAAAAAAAATCGTTGATCGGTTTTGGCAGAAGTGACGAACTGCAAGTTTTGAATGCTTATATCTTCTAAATGCGACTTTTGTCACTGTTTTGGAGCACACTGGCTTATAGATAACCTGAAGACTAACATATTGATACTAACACCCAAAAAACTTTAATTTTGATTTCATGGGGACTTTAATGCTGTTTGATATAACTCAATTCCATTTTAATTCTCCTAATAAAAAAAACTGTCTCCCCTTTAAATTCTCTCTGCCCCACAAAAATCCCAATTTAACACACCTCTGCCTGTTTTTTTTATTTTATTTTTTGCATTCCCATTTGCTTAAACGCTGCATTAGAAACACCCTCACATTAGCCTTAACTAGTTTTTTGTAATCTGACTCAAAGGTAATATAAGTACAGTGTTGTAAATGTACATGCATATTTTTTTTATTCCATAGTAAAGGCAATTCATACAATACACTTAAACTGTGTTTCTCCAAACTTTCTACCGCTACTCTGCTGTTCTTCATGAACACCTTGATTGACAGATGTCTCGTTCAGTCAGAGGTGAGTAATCTATTCTCACACCAGTGGCGCTGTCTCAAACTAACATTATATAATATTACAATATGTAATATAGCATATTATTTTTATTTGTGTATATATATATATATATATATATATGAATGATATGTTAATGATGAAGCGCTAATATAAGTAATAAATAAGGTAATATATTATTCCAATATGGTTATTATATTTGTTTTATTGGCATATATAACAGTTATCTGTATAATTATAAAATTATAATTATAAAACACTATGACAAGGTAATGTTTAATTTATTATTTTATATATATTTATTTATTACATTTGATATTATCATCTCACACATGGATCGGCATTTTCTATAATGTCTAAATTCTAAATCAAAATACATATCTGATATGGCTTAATATATAATTAGCATAAAACAAACAATATAATTCATATTCTCAAGGATTAAAGATTAAACGGAAAAAAATAAAAATGATTGCACAACCATCTATTAGGTGGCGATATGCACTAAGCATGTAAACGGCCATTGAACAAAAGAAGAAAGAAACAGCATGGCACGCTTTTTCTTAGCATCTGTTTCCATAGTGACTCGTCGATTCATCGCTCTGTTGAGAATGTCTTGAGTCTTAACCAGGAACATACTCGGAGTTGAATGAACTTACTCCCGGACGCGTTTTGGAACCACATACCTCGAGTAAGCAAGGTTTTGGGTTAATCAACCGAAAGTTCAGGGTTTAGCTGACGGTAAGTTAACCGTGCTTTCTGGAATGAAGGACTTTGTTTGAAGGATTTGTGATTTTAGGTTTGTTCTGTTGGCGTGCGATGGGCTTTTTAAAGTGTTTTCTGCAGACGAGGCCGTTCAGTTCGTCCTCAACATTCTAGAGGTGTGTATTTTAATGCACTTCCTCGTTCTATGTGCCAGCATTATTATAGAACACTAAATAAAAAAATGATTACAAAATTGTTACTTAAAAAATAAATGCTTAAAAATATAATTTTTATTTACTTAATCCAGATGTATACTAAAATAACAAAAAATATACTGAAATAAAATTTACGAAAACTTTAAAAAATGTTACTTTTATAACATTTTTATATACTTTTAATATTAAAACCTTATTTTATTATATAATAAACATTATTTTAATTTACTTTAACTTATACTAAAATAAAAAATAAAACTTAAATAAAAATATAAAACTTTGTTAAAAAATGTTACTTGAAAAATAAGCGTTAACTTAAATAACATTTTTAAAAAATATTTTTTTATTATATAATAAATATTATTTTCATTTACTTTAACGTGATGTACTAAAATAACAAAAAAACTATGTAATAAAAACTATATAGACATATTTTAAAAAAGCGAACAAAAAATAATAAAAATGACAAACACAACAAAATTACTAAAAATAATTCTAATTAAAATGAAAAAAAAAATTTGAACTGTAATAGTACCTTATTTCTAAAATAACTCTGCTGTGTGTATTGTATGTTAAAATGGTTTTGTTTTTTAGAATGAGACTGTGGAGCAGAAGGAGGAGCAGAGTGAGGAGGCGGGATTTGAGGCAGCTTGTCAGCGATTGGCCAGTGAGGCTGTGAGGCGGGGCAGTGCGGACAATGTCACTGTTATTCTTGTCTTTATTGAGTTCTGAAATCATTATACACTAAACACTGTGTCAGATTTTAGTATTTGTGCTGTTTGCCATCAAATACTAAACAATAAACTTTTATACAATCTCACAATATCTGTGTCCTCTCTGAATTCCTGTGTATGTGAGTCAATGTGTACTGATTGTTTAAAATATCAGCCTTATTAAACCTACTGATTCACTTTGAAATAGCTTTATTTAATATTTTAGTGCCTTATTTTTTGAATTTAGTCAGCGATTTTGTGTAAATATTAGTCAAAGGGTTTGTTTAATGTGTTTTTATTGCACATTTGGGATTTTCTTTTTTATTAGATTTAATTTTCTTTTGCTTTAGATTTGATTTATGTTTATTTCATTTTCTTTTCTTTTATCCAATTCTATTAGTTTTATTTAGTTTTGTTTCAGATTTTATTGTATTTGAAATGTTATTTCATTTTAGATTTTTAATTTTAATTTATTATAGATGTTATTTTATTTTAATAAATAGTGTTCAAAAAGGTAAAATAGTTTTCATTTTATTTGTTATTTTATTCTATATTTATATCTTTATATTTTATTTTAGATATTATTTTATTTTTGTTTCATTACAATTTAGTTTTATTTGTTATTCTATTTAATTTAATTTTAGATTTCGATCCATCCATCCATCCATCCATCCATC